CGCCCTCAAGGACAACTTGCAAATAGCAAGAGACACATTTGGCCCGACATTCATCATTGCACGTTCAGCTGCGCTGGTGCTCCACGTCGACGTCGCTTTGGTCCTTTTCCCCGTCTGCCGCACGCTCATCTCCCTGGCTCGCCAGACTCCGCTCAACGGAATCATCCAGTTCGACAAGAACATCACCTTCCACATCACCACCGCTTGGTCCATTGTCTTCTTTTCGTGGGTCCACACCATTGCCCACTGGAACAACTTCGCCCAGATCGCCGCTAAGAACAACCTCGGAATCTATGGCTGGCTGCTGGCCAACTTTGTTTCCGGACCCGGCTGGACTGGCTATGTCATGCTCATCGCGCTCATGGGTATGGTCTTCACCTCGGTTGAGAAGCCCCGCCGTGCCAACTACGAGCGATTCTGGTACACTCACCACATGTTCATCGTCTTCTTCTTCTTCTGGTCCATCCACGGTGCCTTCTGCATGATTCAGCCCGACTTTGCTCCTTTCTGCACCAGCATCGGCACTTCCGCCATCGGTGTGTTTTGGCAGTACTGGATGTACGGCGGTTTCGTCTACCTGGCTGAGCGTGTCGCTCGTGAGGTTCGTGGACGTCACAAGACGTACGTTTCCAAGGTCATTCAGCACCCCAGCAATGTCTGCGAGATCCAGATCAAGAAGGAGCACACCAAGACCAGAGCTGGACAGTACATTTTCTTCTGCTGTCCCGCCGTCTCTCTGTGGCAGTACCACCCTTTCACCTTGACCAGCGCCCCCGAGGAAGACTACATCTCCATCCACATGCGTGTTGTCGGTGACTTCACTCGTGCTGTCTCAATGGCTCTCGGCTGCGAATGGGACAAGAAGAAGGACGATGCGAGCAAGGTTGTCGGCGTCAACAGCGATTCCAGCGAGGTCGACCCCGCCCTCCGCCGTGTCTTGCCCCGTGTTTACATTGACGGTCCCTTTGGCTCGGCCTCTGAGGATGTTTTCAAATACGAGATCTCGGTTCTCTGCGGTGCTGGTATCGGTGTCACGCCCTTTGCTTCCATCCTGAAGTCCATCTGGTACCGCATGAACTACCCTCAGCAGAAGACCCGCCTGAGCAAGGTTTACTTCTTCTGGATTTGCAGAGACTTTGGCTCTTTCGAGTGGTTCCGCTCCCTTCTTCTGGCCATTGAAGCTCAGGATGTCGATAACCGTATTGAGATCCACACCTACCTGACGGCTAAGATCAAGGCGGACGACGCGACGAACATTATGATTAACGACGCCAACGCCGACAAGGATACCATTACCGGCCTGCGCTCGCCGACCAACTTCGGTAGACCCAACTGGGACATGATTTTCAGAGGTATCCGCAAGCTGCACTCGCCTGCCGAGGCCGGTGTATTCTTCTGCGGTCCTAAGGGTCTAGGTAGCACGCTGCACATTTTCTGTAATAAGTACAGTGAACCTGGGTAAGTCACCATTCTAGGCCTGAAAACATGTTCAATGCTAATATTACTGCAGCTTCTCGTTCGTGTGGGGCAAGGAGAACTTCTAGGCCAAAGTCGAAGAAAAAGAAAAAGGCAACAATTTCGTTTCGTTTCCCTCTTCCACCATATTATTTGTCAACAATATCAGCGTCGTTGCTTGCCTGTACCAATCTATCTCTACCATCATCTATCACTTGCGGTAGGATAGACCATCATGGAGTCTGATCCACGGGGTTGCATGTTGCAGTTGCGCCGGACGCCACAAGACCAGGTGGATGCCAGGTATTGGCGATACGGGTGACGGCATCGCAGGCATGCCGTCGGAGAGGAGCAGGAGGACGAGAATTTGGAGGGCGACAGTGAGGAAGTGCATCGGTGGATGATGATAATCTTGGGCGTCATCCCCGCAACCCCTTGTGGATATACTATTTACTACTACCGACATTTACATTGTACCTAGCGATGCCATCATCAGTATACTTAGACAGTTGTTGATGCAGCAGGGCACAAGGCTCTTGCAAAAGTCAACTTGGTTTCCTTCAGCCGTTTCTCTCGTTATCTACCACGTGCATGTGTGTAGGAGACGATTCCCAAGATGAGGTGAGACGTGCCCCTTCCTCAAGTCTTCTTCGCCACTGTTTGGGCTCCCGTAGGCCCTAGGAGACTGAGGGAAGCGCTCGGACGCCCGGGCCTGGTGTAAAGATGACGACTGCTTGGATAGGGACGTGTGCCCTTTGTTGAGTTTCGAGACGCCTGTTGTAAAACGCTCCAACTGGGATGATATCGGACGAACAAGGGGTGTTACATGCCGCCGCGTGGTTGGGATTTTTCTTTCCGTAGGGTCGTAAGCCGTTTTCCTTAACATTGCTTGGCTGCTTGTTTGTTTTTTAAGGATAGTTGATTTGGTGACGTGGGGGACGCTTGATTCTCTGCCATGCGTTTGCCCCTTTCACTAGGTATATCATTATAGCCGCTGCCCTTTTCGCATCAAAATCTTTCTTATGTACGTCAGAGAATATACCCTGTATAGTAGATATCGGTACTAGTGATAACAGGGGAAACCGATTTTGTCGCCCACTTGGGTGAGTAGATACGGGGACTTTTCAGGCCGGGCCTGGGCGATCTGGTTGAGTGGCTCTTCGTGCTTGGTGGTGTGTGAGTGAGGGATGATGGGCGAGGGATGGCTTGGCTTTTTGCTTGGCGATTTCGGGTATCTTGTTCTCGCGCCAGAGCAGATAAGGGGACTTGCCTAGATTATGATGTCTACTTGGTATCACCAATTGCCTCAACACTGTGGTATCAGACGTGGCCGTGTTTGCAAGGAGGGTGATTCCATATCCTCCCTCTCTGCTTCACAGTAGACTGCGCGTGCTTCCGGTCCTGCCCGGCTGAGGATGCCCGGCTAGTGCGCCGGCTTTGAACCCCAACCGGAGCCGAGTCATTGCCGCTTCGGTTGATCCGGCGCGGTTAAACTGCAGTTCTTGGTGTAGTTATGGTAGCAGTCCATCCTCCTGTTCTTGTGGTAGGTTTATGCGGGCTGTCAACGCCCCCATACCCCATTTGATAAGTTTCTTGTCGAGCGGCTCACTCTTTGCTCGACGTTAATGAAGTTCTTTTCCCTCACGTCATCTACCATGCTTCACCGCTATAATCATGTTTTCCTAGCCTCGTTATTCAGGCTATCCAGGTATCACGAGGGGATTAATGAAGGTTATCTGGCGGCGGTTGAAAAACCTATCGCAGCTGGTATGTCACTTGATGGACACAAACGGAGATATGTATGTGGGCAGACTAAAGAAATTCAAAACCATATCGCAGAGATTCTCCCCAGGCTCATCGTTTTCATATTTAAGCATCAGTATATTTCTCAGCTGCATTGAAATATCGAGGAAAAACATACACATCTCACCTCAGACTTGACGCCTTCAAGAGTCGGCCAAGTCCCACTACCTACATCCTCCGTTCAACCTCGCAGTCTCAACACGATGTCTTCCACCACCCAAACCAGATTCCTCATCATCTCCGACACTCATGGTCACACATTGCCACCTGAAATGATGCCTCGTGAACCAACTGATGTCCTGATCCACTGCGGCGACCTCACACAGCACTCAAAAATGCACGAATTCCACCAAACTCTCGGCATGCTCAAGTCATTCAAAGCACCACTCACGCTCGTCATCGCAGGTAACCACGACTTCTCACTCGACCCCGTAGCTTTCAAAGCAAAAGTTGAGGAAGCCAATCGTATCAATGGCGCACCACTTGAAGCAGACTTGCTTGAACGGGAGTATGGCGGATACGGACTGGCTAGGAAGCTCTTCACCGATGCCAAAGAGGACGGCATCGTTCTCCTAGACGAGGGTACACACGAAGTAACTCTGGCAAACGGCACAAGGCTCAAGGTCTATGCTAGCCCGTACACGCCATCATCCTCATCATCTGAAGGCTGGGGCTTCTCGTATAACGAAAGCGAGGGACATGACTTCCAAATCCAGGCCTACACGGACATCGTCATCACTCATGGTCCGCCGCGTGGGATTATGGACATGTCTGCGAATAAGAAGCGTATCGGCTGTTCGGATCTGTTTGCTGCTGTTGCAGAGTCTCAACCTCGTTTTCACTGTTTCGGACATGTACACGGTGGTTGGGGAGCAAAGGACGCAGCTTGGCGCCCGAAGATTTCCGACAAACCCTCACATTTTAGTGATATTAATCACGAAAAGTCTCAGCTTATTGAAAGTCTCGCAACGCTCGGGGGTACCCGGTTCGAATCTGAAGAAGACAAGAAGGCTAGAGAGATGAGACTCGACGTATGCAGAGCGCAGCGATACTGTAGTGCAGGACATCTTCGCAACGATCTGAGCTCGTCGGAGGTCAAGAGCACCATGTTCGTAAACGCCGCGCTCGAGGTGGATGGTGAGTTGGAACGCTATCCCTGGATCGTGGACATCGACCTGCGGAGAAGCGAAACCGGCATAGCACCCAGAACTGAGAGAAAGAGGCGGCGGGAGGAATCGACTGAAGAGCTTGACGAAGCAAGGAAACTCTCGAAAAGATCATAGTCGTTTACTTCGAGCACGATTGAGGGCATTGTGGTAGCATTCACGATAGATACCCAGTTTTTAGGGGAAACACATCGTCGACACGCTCTTTCCTATCTTCCAGGCACATGAAAACTCCCAAGCAACGGGTCAGGTCCGAGGGATACCAGCTGCCCCAAGTGCCTCACCAAATAGACGTGAATGATTGCCAAAGCAGGCACCAGGTGATGTAAAGCATGGGAAGGCAAGCAGTCAGATTGACAACTACCCCTCCCTCTCTTTTTGCTGTGTCTTCTTCTTCGCGACATCATCGACAGAACTTCTTGGTAGGTTCTTGATAAAGCATCGAATCATTTACCGTGTGCATTGCTAAAGATGGTAGATTGGTAATCGTTACTACAAGTTACTCGCATCAGCTCTTCAGTTGTTCGAAGTATTTTTCGCTCGAAGTTAGATCCCTAAGAAGAGCCATCATTCAAAATGCTCAACTCCTCCAAGACCATCTCCATCCCCATGCGCGACGCGCTGTTTGCCTGCTTTAAAGCAGCAACGACCCTCGTCCGGCCAGGCTTACGGCAGCATGTTATCTTGGTCGGAGGTGCGGCGAGCATTGCCCACTCCTCAACACAGCACACCGAGGACGTGGATGTTGCGGCCCCCTCAGAGGCCATCATCGACATTTAGGAGAGCGCCCAAGCCGGGCTCAAAGACTTTACCATCGAGGCCGACGGCAAGATTGCGTTTGACGTACCTCAAGGATTCCGAGTACGAATGGATGTCCTGGAGATTGGCAATGGCTGCATCGAGCGCATACACGCAACCGAGTCCTTCTTGGGGGGTTCGGTCGCGTCTACCTCAGACCTCCTCCGGCTCAGGGCAAAGACTGTGGTAGAGAGGGGAAATGATGGGGAAGTAGATGACTTTCGGTGGTTACTGTTGCTTGCTGCAAGAAATGGCCAAGTCCTCCCCTTACTTGATAACGATGAGGTGGAGAACTTGGTTGGTGCTGCTGCTATCTTGATGTCATTCGATGTCTTGATCTTGATTGCCCTTCTTGGTGTCAACAATAGCGCAGCTGCTGGGCAGCTGCTGGGCAAATATCTGTGATAATGAAGCATAAGCAAATCATGATAAATGGCGGGGAGCACGTTGAATGAGGCACAGCGAAACAGGGGTCCATCCAACACGCCCCTGTCACCTCTCCCAGCCATCGTCTTTCTACCTGATAAGCTCAACTTCCATCCTCGCCGCAGGATCACAACGGAAACCTATGGTTTAGAAAGGGGATCGGTGACTGAATTCATCATGCTTCCCACACATGCTCTCACCTCATTTCTAGTCTGGGCCGGAATCGCCTCACCCGCAAAACCTGTAACTTGCCCTTCCAGTTCAGAACTCAGAGTCACCATACCACCGTCCCACCAGAGCCCAAGCAACACAGACTACGAGTCGTTAGCCGAAGTCCACGATGCTCTCATCCACTGCCCCAACATCACATCACTCAACCTGCGTATCGGAGAGATCGGTTGTGTAGGAGAACCCGACCGCTGGAGCCTTCCCCTCGACCCTGCCCGAACATCACGATATCTCCCCGTACTGGACACACTATCCCTCGAAAAGTATCATTTTTACGACACTTATGGGGATTACCTACATCCTTTGAGAGGATGGACTTATCTCAGTGCTTGGATCTGGTCGGGTGATGCCTTTGGGTGGTTGAAATGGAGACTACTCTCGGATGACCAAAAGTCGGTGAGCAACACCGAACTATGGCTCGACGCGATGGACTTCTCCAAGATCCGCAATCTCTCCATCTTGGACTACAACGGTCCTCCTGAGACACTCGTCGAGAGCGAACTGCCTCTATCTCTACCAAGCCTTCGCACGTTGAGGCTGGAGCGAAACACAACGGTAGACTTTGGCCTCTCCCTACCTCTGCATTCGCTACACAGCCTTTCATGGCTAGACGCCGGCCAAGACCAGTCCATCATCCCCATACTCGAACGCCAGGGACGCTCACTCAATCACCTGGAATGGCGAACGCCTGAAAGCCTAGAGTCCAAAAGACCAGTGCTTTCGAGGGAGGTCATGCGAGACCTTCGCAACTTAGCACCCAATTTGCAATCTCTGACCATCGACCTCAACCGCAACGGCACATGGCCATGGGAGGATCTCCGCGCTCTCTCGTTAGGCCTCCCGGCTGGACTGACCAACCTCACGCTATACCTCGAGATCGCGAGCGAATGCCGTCGTCAACAGGGCCCGTACGATCCGGTCCGTTGCGAGGATGCCTGCGGTCCGGTGGAGCAGCTCGCCAGCCCTCTGCTCACGGCGACGAGTGCCCTCCAAGTTGCGAGGTTCATCCGACATTACGCAAAGAGTCCGCTGGCCTCCATCAACTTCTTCGCGGGCGATTGGACGAGGCCGTGGGATGGGCCGATTAACGTGCCGACCTGGTTGGATGGCAGGCGTTCTTGGGTTGCTTGCGGTACGAACGGCGGCGAGGATGAGGAGCTCAGATGCTCTGGGATGGACACGGCATTGGGCGAGCATGAGATTGAGCTCTTTCGGGCCCTGTGTGTACGAATGTCGGCGGATCTCTTGGATGATATCACCGCTGGGCATCCTCAAGACTTCGTGGACCAGCGCAAGAGTGAATAAGATCCAAATGCGGCAAGACGGCTTGTTGGCGGCGTCGAAGCTTCAGGTACTCTCTTTCGAATACTCCGTACAGAGACAATGATCCAGCCTGAAGTGTGGACACGAATGTCGCGGTTCCCGTAGATGTCGTTATCGACAGTTAGGAGAGTGCCCAAGCCGGAACCGATGGCTTTACTGTTGAGGCGTCTAACAAAGTAGCGTTTGATACGCTCCAGAAGTTCCACGTCGGAATATGTAACCTGCGGGTTGGATGTAGATACATTAAGCGCATCCCATCGACTGCTAGAAAATAGAGCAAAGTTAGAGAAAGACTTGCGTAGTGACGGATGTAGTGACGCCATGAAGCGGTTAATAGAATACAGGCGACGAAGCCCTTTCTCGGAGGATATTATACCAACTTCAGATCTTGATATCGTTTCACATCTTGATCTCGGTTGCGCTTCTCAGTTCCAACAATGACGCGGCTGCTTTGCGGCTGCTGGGTCATTGTTTCTTAAAATGAGTACAGACCAACACAGGCATTTTCAGTCAACAAGAGGACGTAAACCGTGGTCATCCCTACTGGTCATCTATCGTGCGCTTACGCCGTAATGATGTGAAGTCGAAGGGAACCGATCATGTGAGCTTAATGAGGCAGTCACTCTGGGTGAGACTGACCACTCTTCCAGCGACGGCCCATGGACAGGACGAACCCTTCCAAGCAGAGGCCTTGGCAGGGAGCGGGCAAGAATGGAGGCGACTTCATGTCAAATAGTACAAAAGTGAAGTGTCTCACACTTGTGAGTACAACATGGGGAAAATGACGAGCAAATTCTGGAGAAATAAAGCTTGAATTGAAAGAGGCATTCCTCGTGAGTGACATGTGAGCCATACTCTCACTTGAAGGCAAATGCACAGACATTATGAAAGTCGCGTTAAGCCCCAAGCTGAGTGGGCGCGCCGTGTGCCGGGCTTCACAGTGAAGTGTGGCTCAGTTGGCAACTGGATTACTCACCGGCCGGTGGACGCTGTGTCTCTGGGCAATTTCCGGGAATTACAAACGCTGGGCCCCTTCGAGTCTTCGACACCCGAGTGTCCCGGGCGGTCCCCTCTTTCTTCTTTTCGCGGTAAGCACTTTCGAAGCTTGCCAGCTTGGTGGTAAGAGATTGAGTAGCGGACTTTTCTGAGAGTTGATAGACTCCAAGCATGAGACTGCTTCCTGCGTAGAACTAACTGGACGGACTCCAGGAGCGAGTGATTGGGTTCTGTCGGGCTTTTCTCCCATCTTGAGCATCTTTGAGACCCGAGAATCCTTACAATCTTCTCTCGTGTCGCAGACGGTGTTGATCTACAAAGGATGACGCTGTTGGCGAGCACACCTCCCTAAACCGACCGTTCTGTAGACCTACTGGGGCGCTGGCTGCTGCACCTCGATCTCGTATTCCGTTTCGGCTCATTTTCTGGCGCGTGAATGCGTGTGCGTGTGTGTGTGTGTGTGTGTGTTGTTATGCGTTGTCTGCTGTAAGCGTCTGCCCAGGCTGATATCATTCTGCCCACGCGCAGATCGCATGACGGAACGTCAACACCACTAGATACTCTGTCCCCTCGAGCTGCGAGCAGACGGATAGATCAAGAAGCATTATCGAGGGTGAAACACGAGTAGGATCACTCACTCGCTACCACAGAACACGAGCGCTTTTCTTTCTTCTCTCGACACGCTGTAATAGTTTGGGCGCGTGTCAATGTCGCGATTCGGTCCACCGCCAAAAGATCGAATTTGGCAGGAAATGCGCGAATGCAAGCAAATGTGGCGCTAGCTGACGATTTGAGGAATCCAGGGTCATTCGACGCCCGGATGACCAGCGCCACGCCGGCGATGACACGGAAGTGGTTTTATGGACCGGGGAGGGATCCAAGTGAACCCTGGCGGGAGAATCGCAACATCTATCAAGGGTCTAGGTGTATTCCGTACTTTTGAATGTTTGCGACATTTTGAAACCTCTCAACACCGCGCGATGCATATACGGGTGGAAGAAACCTCGTTATCATGGTAGTTTCAATATGTTTTCTTCTTTACGCGTCGCTGTCGTAGTCGTCGTCGTCGTGACCGTTGTCGGGGCCCTTGGTTACTCAGCCATCGTATGTTGCCCACTTGGGTCCATCCCGCGTACCGTATGAGGGGGCAGGCGACACGGGGGTTTGGCTGGAGACTGGAGTTGACGGGGAGATTTCGTTAACCATCACAGGACCAAGGCGGTTTTCCGACAATCTCGTATTGCTGCTGATTGTCCAATGGAACTCCGCCGTGTACTGCCTGGCTATCGATACCTATGCGTTGGCCCCGAGCCCTTGTAATATTGCTGATAACCATCGACTGGCTGTCAATTCTCTCCGTATTATGGCATCTTTCAATCCAAACGGCAGAGGTCGGAAAGAGCGAGATAGAGAAACGTTTTGGGGGCGCACAGCACCTCGGTTGAAGGTTCTCATGGCTGGCAGGGTCCACTGGTCCAGGGGTTCAGGGACACCCCATGATGGCGTGCGTGTGTGCGTGCGAAGAGCCCGGCCACCGCGGGCTGTCAATGACGGGCTTGTCGAGCACTGCCATTGCAGCATTCAGCGGGTATCCAAGCAGCGGCGCACATCACCATCGAGAGCACTCTCGGATGGCGGGGAGAGACCTTGTCGAAAAGAGCTCCAAGTTGACGGGCATCCGAAAATTCTAAGCCCTCGCTGTCGGAATCCTCGTCCCTTTTTGTACACCCCTTGTGTGGTTGTGTCATTGTGTTTCCTACTTGGGCGTGTTCAAATTAAACATTTGTTAGCCTTTCTTCGCTCCGTCGCCCTTTGGTCTTATTTCCTTTGGGTTTGGGCCGCCCTCGAGCAGCAGTATTGACTGACGACCTGCCGTTTGGGATTCGAGAGGGCAGCAGATGGAGTGGTTAATTCCTCGACGCCCCTCCCGCCCACTCTTTTGTCTATTTTTTTCTCGGTCACTTGTTCATTCGAAGTTCTTGGGAGAAGGGCCCCTCTTTCAAACCGTCGGCTCGGGCTCCTCTCCAGTATCCGGCGGTGGAGAGACTCGATGGAACATGGAAAGGAGAAGCGCTGCCCAGTGCCTAGCCTGACGGAGAAGACGGAGTTCGTCAGAGATGTCATACATAGGAGAAGGGGAGATGCCATGCACAAACCACCATTTGTACCTATTTCATGAGCCATGAGAGATGAGGCAAAAATCCAGTAAACCGCGCCACCTTGGACGGGTGGACGCTAGTACGAGTGGCTTTTCCATTAGCACCCGTCGGCCGGGACGCTAAGCTCGACGGAATCTGCACTGCTGCGGAGGTACAGGCGCACTTGCTGGGACTTGTGCAGATTTGGCTGCATTGTGTGCATTTTTGCATGGTCTAGGTCTCTAGGACTCGAGAAAGTTGTTCGTGTCGAGACTCAAGGGAGAAAGAAGTTGTGTACGAAGCGAAGTTAGTGAACAGCCAACAGCCCAGGACTCCAGGACTCAGCACATGGAGGCAGTCGCCAATCGATGCTAAATCTACATCGCTCTTTCCCGCACTCTCGAGTCTCCGTTCCTTCCACTAAAAAGTTCTTCTCGTAATCAACCGAACCTGTGCCGGCGTGACCTAGCGGATACTCCATCCTCTGCTTCCCATCTTTACTTCGTATCCCCCGTCGATTGATTGTTCCTCCGTCTACTCGCACCGTTTCGTTGCCTCTTCCCACAACCAAACTGTACGACGCCATTCCCATTCCACCGTGTTTCGCCGTGGTGGCACAATACACACGGAGTACACACACACACACCTCACTCACACTTGTTTCCGACCCGCCTTACCCTAGGTTACTACCTACCGCACCCTCCTCATCCTCCATCAATTCGTCCTCGACTCTACGACCCCCCTCCCCCGTTTAAACCTCCCACTTCCACTCAACAAGAGTCAACCTCAATCCTCACCACTGCCATTGCGCTCATTCTCGGTCCTCTACTCGTCGTAGAGTGACCGCATCGCAACCATGCGTCTCGGATCAGCCGGCCTCGCGGCCCTACTCTGGTCCTCCTTCACCACCGCCTTTCCCTTTGTCGATAATGGCAGCAAGCCCCTGCCTGTCCTCCGACCCCGACAAACCGGCACCGGCTCGACGCCCACTTCCACAACACCCGTAGCCACGACTCCGGCGGCCACGACAGAGACCACAGCTGCGGCAGAGGCCACCACCACAGTCACCATCACCACCACCGTGGGCGGCGGCGGAGGAGGAACAGTCACGTCCACCACAGTCTTCTTGCGTACAGTCACCACTACCGTTGTCGTCACTTCCACGACCTTCCAGACCACCACCATCACCAGCAACGATGTCGCGACCGCCACCGTGACCAACTATGTCACCTCTACCGTCCTTGCCAAGCGCAGTCTCAACTTCCTCCCTGTTCTCGATGCTCCCTACGACGCCCCGGCTGCTCAAATCACGCCCGCCGCCGACGCCAACGATCTCCGAAGATACGGCGTCATCGAGAAGCGCGCTCTCGTCACCGTAGTCGTCACCGTCTCCGGCTCAGCAGGCGCCGATTCCACCGTCCTGGCCACCCGGACCAGCACCGTGCTCCTCACAACGACCTCGAATACCATCCTCACCTCCATGGTCACAAGCACCCTTTTCAACAATGCCCAGACCACAATCACCGTCGAATCCACCCTGACCGTCACCTCCACCTCCATCGACACCGCCGCGCCCACTACAGTTGAAAGCGGCCCAACGACCGGCAGCCTGGGCACCGCAACCGCGACCGGTGGTGCGCAGAGCACGGGTTCCAGCAGCGGCGGAGGCCTTTCCACCGGCGCACAGGCCGGAATCGGTGTTGGTGTTGGCATTGTTGGACTTGCTGCTCTCATTGGTATCGGATACTGGCTTTACAAGCGCCGTAAGGCTAACCGACCTTCTCGCGCCGACCTCGACGACATGCGCGCCTACGATCCCAACGGTCCTTCGCCCCTCAGCGGGCCCGGTGGAGGTATGTCCGAGACTGGAGCCGGCTACGGTGGTGCTGCTGCAGGCGCTGCAGCGCTCGGAGCGGGTGCGGGAACGCAGAGACGACAGCCCGTGCCCAAGCACCAGCTCTCGCCGCCTTCGCAGAGCGTGAGCCCCATGACAAACAGTACAGTTTCGCCCGCGGGTGCCGGATACGGATCTCGCCCGCCGACAGGTGGTGCGCAGGAGCTCGGTGGAACGAGAATCCTACCCGCAGAAATGGGAGGAGACGAGGTCGTCGAGATGGGCGAGTCGCAACCCAGGCCGCAGCAGCCGCTGCAACAGCAGTCGAGACCCGCGCCGGGTATGACGTATAACTCGGGTCCTGTACCGGATGTCTACGAGATGCCTACCGAGAGGTATCGATAATGCTATAATTTCTTTTGTTATGTGTGTAAGCTTTGTTGTGGAAAGACTGGAGGAATTCAAAGGAAAGGCAGAGATCAAAGGGGAAATGCATATAAGGATCATCCAGAGGAGGGATTGTCATTTACCTGAATATTTTTGAGAAAGCGTTGCATCGAGTCCCATACGGGACAGATTGGTATCAGAAACAGGCAAGGAAAGCAGGCTCTATAGAAAAGAAGAAGGACTGCTTAAGGGGACGGGTGTATTTCCACGTAGAGGATATTCGGTAGATAATCTTCGTAATGTGTACGACATGGAAAGATGTGTGCAGTAAACCATTGCTGTAAGCTTGTGTGACTTGAGGTTTTGAAGGAGGCTGAAAGGTCAGACGTCTTTTGAGAACATCAGAAAAAAGACTGAAGGTTCCTTATATTTTTGATAAGCTCACTGGGTCCGGTTGTACTCAAGCCGTTTCGTCATGTCAAACGGCGACCCGGCGGATGCGGCCTGCGACCTGCGAAGCTTGCCGGTGGGAGCGTGGCGTGCAGGTTGGAATGCGGCGTTTGCTGACTGCGTCGGGGGATGGATGAGGTGGGCCTCACTCACTCACTCAAGTGGTCCTCACCGCGACGAGATGGAGCTGGTTGGTTTTTATTCGTGAAGGCCGTGGGTGAGAATGCGGGAGAGGGGAAGGTTTTGAAGGGTTCTGAGGGCTGAGCACGGTTTGAATCTTGAATCTCGGAGAGTGAAGAATGCACGAAGGGGAGCACGGGGATGTTTTGTTGGCAGGGGCCAGTTGTTCATCCCAAGTTGTTGATGTTTCGTTTTGGAAGCTGGTAGATGGGATGGAAATGTGTGAATGTTTGCGTTACTGGCTCTTGTGTAACCTTTTGGCGATTGCTTCTACATGTAGACATTGAAATCGCGGGTGTTTCATTTGGTTTTGAGACGGACCTGCGTCGCGATATGACTCTACCTAAGGATACCTCATCACTCAATATACAATTTGAATGCACTTGGTCTCGATTGTAACGCGAAGAAACTCGGTCGACATCGTTGGCGCGATTGGGGATTTGCTTGAGGCTCTTCGATATTACAGATGTCATACTCTTAAGCGTTTCAAGAAGCGGTTCAAAATGCAGCTTGATGCCCATCCTCGCTGGCAGCTCTATGTAGTCTCGAAAAGAAGGGCTAGTGAGCATGCTGATCCTACAAACCCATCGGCGACAAAATTACCGATGCTATTGAACGGCGTCTATCTCTACCTGCAAGCCAAGACTTCAGACGCAACATCACGATTACAAGTCTTGGAACTTGACAGCAATGCCGAGTAACTGTAGGGTGCATATCCTTATGGGGCACTTAAGCAAGCAGTAACGTGTGTCGCGGCCTGCACTTCTGCTTACGCACACTATAGCACGGCATAGGGCGGTGGCACCACGTCGGGTATCTCCTACATGTGCGGGAATAGAACATAACCCGGGGCGGGTCTCTGACAAATGAAACAAGCAAAGAAAATCCAACCAGACCAGCCACCCGATGCCTCTAAAGACTCGTCGAGTGCTCGCAGCTCCGAGCTTACCACGGTTGCGTTCCAGACCCGGGGGGTTGTCTTGGCTTTTTGCGGTCTTATCTGCACATGTCAAGATAATCCCGCCGCCGTGGGGGAGGTAAGAACTGGGCGGGACGATGGAGGGGGAGGGGCTGGCTTGCTGTGTTTCTAATTATGTATGTGACTCTTCAAGTTTTCTCTTACTCTATCTAGAGTGCCTCCTTCTAGGACCTGCTACTTACTCTTGCTCTACATTGTCGTCAATCGAGCCTCATCTCTGCTAGTCAATTATCCTTCAATTGATTCCAAACTTGGCTGACTCGTAGAAGCGGCGCTTCCCATATTGTCTTTATCCCTCTAGCTCGTAAGCTTTTTTTCGGCGGAGTTTCGGTGACTACCTAGTCGACATCGTGCCATTGTCTCTTCAGGGACCCCGCCGACATAGGAACCGGAGGGGCAGGTTACAGAGAGAAAATCTCATTGTTTGCGCAGTTCGCGATAGATCTCATACCTTACACACACTCATCCCGCCGTTGAAACATCACCAAACCCTGCGCTCATCGTCACCTTGATGATCATCTGGCGATAACGGAGTGGAATTCTAGGGAGCTCTCAACCCATTCTAACGGCTGGGTTAAGAGAGAGGTCGGGGCAACTCTTACCTTACACCTTTTCAGAACTTAATCCCAGCTCTTTAGAGAAAGGCCCGCCATAAGCTCATCGCCGGCGCAAACTCACTGAGCCGCTCGTCGCTTCCGGACCACCCCGCACACCCGGGACATCGAAGAGCTTTTTTCTTCTTCCGCCCGGCCTATCGCCGTAACACCGGCATGACCATAACGACCATGGACGCCTCCGGCAAGGACCGCGTCTACGAAGACACCGGCCTGGGCCCCAGCACCAGTTCCCCCGACATGGACGCCCGTGACCAGGGGCTCGCAGACCGCATCGCAGAACAGAAAATCGTCCGCAAACTAGACATGCACATCGTGCCCCTCGTGATGCTCCTCTACCTATTCAGCTTTCTCGACCGGTGAGTTTCACGGCCATCTCCGGATATACTCCCAGTCCTTGACTCACACTCACAGCGTCAACATCGGTAACGCCCGCCTCTACAACCTCGAACGCGACCTCAACCTCCAAGGCAACCAATTCCAAGTCGCCGTCTCAATCCTCTTCGTAACCTACATCATCTTCGAGGTCCCCTCCAACCTCGTCCTTAAGCTCCTCACCCCGCGCCGCTGGATCGCCTTCATCACAGTCTCCTGGGGCATCATCGCCACCCTCACGGGGCTAGTAAACTCCTACGGCGCCCTCATCGCCTGCCGCCTCCTCCTAGGCGTCGTCGAAGCAGGCCTCTTCCCGGGGTTAAACGTCTACCTCACCTTCTTCTACAGTAAGCACGAGCTCGCGCTGCGCGTGGGCTACCTCTTCGTCAGCGCTGCCATCGCGGGCGGGTTAGGTGGTCTGTTGGCGTACGGGATCGGGCACATGGAGGGTGTCGCCGGGTTGAGCGGGTGGCGGTGGATCATGATCATTGAAGGCTTGCCGACGGTCGTGCTTGGTGTGGTGACGTATTTCGCGTTGCCCAACGACGCGGGTAGCGCGTACTTCTTGAGCGAGGAGGAGAAGGCGGTGTTGGTGAGGCGGAGGGGGAGGGAGTACGGCAACACGAGCAGTGCGCAGGAGTTTAGTCGCGGGGATATGGTCAAGGCGTTTATGGATTGGAAGGTATGGGTGTTTTGCGTTGCGCAATTTGGGGCTGATACGATGCTCTACGGTGAGTTTCACTCGTTCTTGATGTTGTAGAGTAGGTGACTGACGATAGTAGGCTTCTCGACTTTCCTCCCGACCATTATAAATGGCCTCGGAACGTGGACGGCGGCGCAGGTGCAGCTGCTGACTGTGCCGTGCTACTTTCTCGGTGCCGTAGTCTACATGACCATGGCTTTCCTGTCGGACCGCACACAAAAGCGCGGCCTGTTCTGTGTCATCTTTGGGAGCATCAGCGTCATCGGTTACGGCGTGCTCATATCACCGACTTCGAATGGGGTTCATTACTTTGGATGCTTCCTTGTCGCGGCGGGATTGTACGTCGTGGTTGGGTTACCACTTGCTTGGGTGAGTTATCACCCTCCTCTGCTGCTGTTCTGGTGTCATCGACATGACGTCGAGACTGACAATTTTGGTGTTTCTTATAGCTTCCGAACAACTCGCCGAGATACGGCAAGCGGACGACTGCGAGTGGTATGCAGCTCACCATCGGCAACTGCTCCGGCGTCATGTCGTCCTTCATCTAGTGAGTCCTCCTCCCTTCTTAGACCCATCGCACCACATAATCACCACCTTCACATCAACAAAACTGACAGAAGGACCATCCGCAGCCAAGCTGTCGATAAGCCGCGCTATATCCGCGGTCACGCCGTGACGCTGAGCATGGTCGGTATGGCAACATGCATGTACGGCTTCATGTGGTTCTGGTACTCGAGGGAGAACAAGCAGCGGCAGGGCGGTCGTCTGGAAAACAAGTACGTCGACCTCTCTGATGACGAGCTGGCGGAGCTGGGCGATGAGAGTCCGCGGTTCCGGTACACCATCTAAGGTGATGCGAGAAGATGTCAGTGGGAGGACGGTTTGAAAGAGACGCGGACAGTTTATATAGGACAAGGATCGCGCGGTGGAGAGATGCCTGGTCAGAATTAGTCAAGGATGCCATAATAGATACCCCCATGAAGACAAGAGTGTACTTCATCCACGCGTCGACGGCCGCTTCGTAGCTTCCGCGACATCTCGTACCATGACACACACCTTTTAGTTGGCCAAATTCTGGCCGCAAAAGCAAAAAGAAGTCCAAATCGTTACCCGACTGACGTTGTAGACCCTTTTTACAGTCAAAAAAACGGCAAAATGAAAGGGACGAGACTCGAACTCGCGCGGGTTGCCCCACCAGGAAACAGATGTTAAGCTGACCTTAACCTGGCGCCATAACCAACTCGGCCACCCTTCCTATTGGTTGATGATACCTCCTAACAATGTTGCATATAGAGGTAGCATCTAAACCGGAGTGCGTTGTCAGCTCAATAACTCACAGCCAGTCCACAGCTTTCTGGATGTGTGAACATAAATATTCAACAATCTCTCAGGGCTATATTCCCAGGCTTTCTTGCCTCCCGAAGCTTTCTACCTTATCTCGACCCATCCCAGAGATCACCAGAGAATGACGCAGCGAAGAATCAAGCATTATCAAAAAGCATTTATAAGACACTCCGGACCATAACCTGAAAGATCAGATCTACATTGGCTAAGTAAGTCTCCGACCCCCGAATGCGGTTCGCATGCGGAACTCCAACGTCCAACGGTAACATATTCGTCACTTCCCTCTTCTGCCGGCATCATCCCGCTTGGGGTAGATGCAAGTACAATATGCATGCACCGACTCAACACAGTCCGTCTGACCCATTTCTCCCAGCCCTAGCAGCTCGACTTCGTTCCGAATCGCGGGGCCACGCTGTCGCAGGGCCACAGAACGCCCTCAACACTTCTTTGTTATACTGCTGCCTGAAAATTGGCACCTCTTGGAGAGACCTGGGGCTAATTACCAAACGTCATGCCAATGCTACTCCGCCTCCCCGGCCCACACCCGACAGATCCAAGAGCTGTCTTTCTCTCGGAATGTATTAGCAGTCACACCGTCAGACAAGGGTGTATTGAATGATTGGATGAATTGGTAAGTGGAAGCAATTGAGCCGCCCGGTCAAGATGGGTTTATCGCCCGGCTTCCGTTGGTGTCTTGGCTCTGATGTCTTTCTCGACGACGGATGGGACGAGCCTCGTATAGCTCAAAGCAGCCTAGCTGCTTTTCAGACTATGAATCCCAACCTCAAGCTACTATTAACCTTCATCATCATCAAGGATTTGCTTCGCAATAGAATTATTGGCGTGGCGGCTAGGACAATTCGTTATGGGTCCTGCCATATTCACGATTGTGCTTCTGGGAAGCCAACCAGTAGTGTCTAGCATAGGCCATTCAGCAAATCCTTTTGATCCAACCCCTTGCTGGCTACCAGGGTTATGTTCCTATTCTCTCATCGTTTATGCCGGTTGTTCTCGCCTGATACATGGCTGTAAAACCCTGCGAGGCTGCTCCACCGGATCTAAGCATCTTTCCCTCGTCTACACTCTTTCTCGAACTCTGTAGCAATGTTACAAAGATGATTATCCCTCCTTCCTTCACTACAACTATTCATCTTTCGAAGTAATCGTCTTTCAAAGTCTGCTTGTAACAACATATGGGAATGCTCCAATGCTCCAATGGCAGCCTATCGAGGAATTGGGCTCCATCACGGGACCTGCGGGAGCAGCTGCGATCTACACCGTTGTGACCCATTACCTTTCTTCCAACGCCGCTGAGCTGTGGTCGGAGCTACTTTGCTGGCTACTACTGCCAATTATCTTTCGGAGTACTCTTCAAAGTTCATACAGTCTGGGAGACAGCAAGGGCTCGAAGAACAGCCTCCCGGCCCCCGTCCCTCGAAGTCCCGATTTGGGGGTTGCACTAGGCTCCGTACCTCTCTGGGCAGTCGCTTTTGCTATCGCTGTGGTCTCGGTGTACAGAGCAGAGCACAAGACCATTATAGTCTTTCTGGTAAGTATCGCCTCTATAATCATTCCTTCACTATACTTATCCCTCCATTTGACTAACGAAACTTCCAGCCAGTTCTATCTCCGTTACTTTTGCTTGTTCACAAGGGCTTCTCGCGATCCGATCCCCCATCATCCGATATTACGCCGTTGATTCGACCGAAAGTACAAATCTTTCTTTTTGATACATTACCTGGATCATTCTTGATCGGACTCTTTGCGGCCTTCATACTATGTGGCTGGGATCTTGAGGCATCTGCCTTCGCGGCGATACCAGCTACTGCGATGCTCGTCATCTATACTTCGTTTGAGTATGCTAACGCAGCGCACCGAACATATTTCTATCCAAAAGTGCATCTTCAACAATCGGTCACTGCATTGGCTCCTCGGGTCGTGGTCCTACTCGTCGCGTGCTTGATACTGGACGCCAGCATTTTCGACTTCACGACGATCAACATTCCGAGCACAGTATTCTTGGGCATTGCTAAGGCTTTGGCATGGTATTTCATGGCAAGAACTGTAACTAAATCCTTTTGCTCTACCGCGTAAGCTCTAAGACTGACAGACTTTCTTTAGGCCGAATGCACTTCTTGGCGCATTGCACCAGCGATAGGGACTTTTGGGATCACCGCAACCTTTGGTCCCTTTTCACAAGCCTCAGAGTTCCAAGCAATCTCACATATGGCAGTGTCGATACTGGCACTGTGTAATATGGTACACTTGATATCCAAGCCATCGAAGACGAAGAGAGTTCCAACACTATGGTTATTAGCTATTGCTTCACTTGGCCCTTACATCATGAATCTTTTCGTTGCCAGAAATGCAATCTCTACAGCTCAGACATTTGCTGGTCATTCCGAGAAACATCCTGTTGAGATTTTAGGCCGACAAGCAGACATCAAATTTCAACACCTGCTGAGAACACAATCGGCCAACTACACGGCAGCCCATGTCGAATACGTACGTCGATATGGGACAGAGCCACCTCCAGGCCTTGGAGAATGGTTTGACTTTGCAGTAGCGAACCAGTCTCCCATTATCGACGATTTCGATATGATATTTGATTCTGTATCGCCTTTGCTCAAGATGAGCGGTGAACAAGTTAATCAAGTGATGCGCACGGCGTACGAAGCGACGGGAAGTGACCTTTGGCTTTGCTCCTTTTCGTCTACACGAGGCACAATCCAATGCCAGCACGCATACCGTACTTTCGACCGAAACATTGCGTCTTCATTCAACAAGTTGCTAAAGGGTTTAGAGCATAGCAAGATCCCAGATTTGAAGTTTCTCGTAAATCACCTCGACGAGCCGCGAGTTCTCCTCCCCTCGCAATTTGCAGGAGATGTTGATGGACAGCCTTCAATCACCCTCGGCCGTTTCAATCTGAAAAACATGTCGGGACGACCAGTCGGCAAAGAAATCACGAAACACTGTTTAGACCAAGAGCAACTCGCATCGAGGCACACGAGAAACTCGACCGTCGATTCCTGTGGCCTTCCATTTGTGTCAGACCTATCAATGGCTGCGGATCTATGCCAACATCCCGAGCATACCTCCCTACATGGTCTCATTGCGAGACCGAATTCGTTCCGTTTGATTGAGGGACTGGTGCCTATCCTATCCACAGGTGTTCTCTCATCAATGGGAGATATTGTGTACCCGAGCCCGGCATATTTGGAGGAAGAATTTCAGTATGCCGATGACCAAGATGTCCAGTGGGAGAAAAAAAGCAATAACGTCTATTGGACTGGGTCCAACACCGGTGGCTTCGCTGTAGATGGCAGTTGGAGGAATTATCACCGCCAGAGATTCGTGACCTTGGCACAGAATCTGCAACAGCCCGAGGAACAGCACCATACCTACCTGAGACTAGTCAACGGCGTGGTCGAGCGTGTGACCTCAAGCTTCTTGAACAGTCGCTTGTACGACGTTGCTTTCACAAGGTTGTTCCAGTGCCGGAGGACACAGTGCAGAGATCAATACTCGTACTTCAATGTGAGGTCTTGGGTAGACAAGAATCAAGCGTTTCGCTCGCGGCTCGTCTTCGACCTTGACGGAAACGGCATCAGCGGGCGCTATCACAAGTTCTTAGCATCAAAGTCCACACCACTGAAACAGACTCTTCTCCGCGAGTGGCACGATGAACGCCTCGTTCCTTGGACACATTATGTGCCCGTCAGCCTGAGCATGGAGGAGCTACCTGAGCTTGTTTCATACTTGACTACAACTGATAGTGGGCAGCAACGAGCAAGAAACATTGCGATACAGGGGAGAGAGTGGCATTCAAAGTCCTTGCGTGAGGTGGACTTTACAATTTACAACTATAGGCTTCTGTTGGAATTAGCGCGGCTACAAGATCCCAAGAGGAAGCAATCATGAGGCCTTGATCATTAGGAACTCCTCCATACAATGAATTAACGACCTAAAACACCTCGACTCTAGTCCACCCACATAATGAAGCAACGAAACATAACTCGATCGAAACATGATCGACTGTCGAATGAGTGACAACTATCCATAATTGAGTAGAGTCCAACGCTGCCGCCCTCCCTCAAAGATCCAACCGTAATCGCTCAAAAATTTGCAGACATACACGGACCAAGTTACCAAATACTTGATGACAACCCAATAGGCAGGGCCATCGTAATTCAAATCGCCCACGATCTCAAAAGCACGGCAAACCACATCGGCATTCCACGCTCCACAGCGGGCCGCTGTGCATTCATTCGTCCACGTGTCTCGCGCGGTATTCTTCAGGCTGTAATAGGAGGTCAGATAAGCAATCATGCATCGGGACATGGAATCTTGACAAGAAATCACTGACCGCTAGTTCCACAAACCCAGTCCATGGGACCGTATGCTCCGAAATTGACCGCCCCGTTCACGTGATGCTCGTCATGGGCCTCGTCTCCCCAAACAAGTTTAACTTGCTCTCCTGTTGCAGAGATGAAGGAGAAAACCAAAGTTGCGACGAGCTTCATGTCCAAGAACTTCGCCACGGATACTATCGGAACTGCGTACAAAAAGAAAAAGTCTGCAACGGACATGTAGCTGATGGTGAAAACGTGGTGTTCGCCTGGGTTCTTGATCTCATGATGCTTCGCGTGCACTCGATATAGTCCAGGGATGTGTAACAGTCGGTGGATGATCCAAAATACAGCATCTCGTAACACAAGGCCGATTACCAGCTGAGAAATGAGCTCGGTCCATGACGGCAGCTGGTACTTTGTGGGATATCCTTGTGACAAAATCGAGTGTCCACCCATACAAGTTGCTATGGCGAAGTGGAGGGAATTCAGAATGACGTGGTTCAGAATACTCTTGTTCAGGACTTCACGAGATGTTGCGGTGACGTAGGCAGGCCGCGTCTTTTCCATGATCATCCCACAAGCGAAATATCCCGCTTGAACGCCGAGGCTGCCGAGAACCTCAACGTAACCAGGTGGACACCAGTCCAGAAAGTCGTTCATTGTCGCAGTGCAGTGGGTATATGGTTTCGAGTCGAGAAGGGTCGGGAATTCAGGAGCAAAGATATTCCACTAGCATGATTAATTAAAAAGTTTAAGAGGCAGGGCGACTTGAGCTTAAATATTTCTGGCTGGACAGGGTTCAATAGTCGAGCTCCCTCGACGAAGAACTTCGCTCCGCTTTTACCCCTCCAGACTAGCCCTATCATACCCAAAAGCTGGAATTGGTGTCCATCTCGTGGTGTTGACGTTTACAACGTCTTCCGTCCGCACTAACCCGATATGAGTGACAAGTCCGGTCTCCCGCGCACTAGTAACTTCGTGCGTTAATTTGTCAACGATGGTATTTGCCGGAACAACGTAATCCATCTCATGGATCAAAGTCGTGCTGGTTGCCATATTTCCTCATTTCAACAACACCACTGGCTCAATATACCAGGTTGACTTGGTACATCGTCCACCGTGAGCTTTTGAGTGGATTTCAAATTCGCCCTGGTCATGTTTGCTAGAGTGGCGTCGATGTTTGCCCAGTTTCCGGAATCCAACGAATCACCAGAGACGTGGCGCACTATAACAATTATCAATCAGTCAGATAGTTCATCATAGTGAAAGTCTTATCTCCTTTTGAGAACTGGTTGGTAGATGATTTTCTTGCGTTGAAACTGGGAGGTGGCGGGGAATCGTGAGGGGTAATCGGGTTGACTTACACTTCTGAACTTACAGTACTGGCATCAACCGACGGATCTACATCTCGAGCAGTTTGCTAATAACGATGTTTGCTTCCACCGTTCTTCAACCGAACTTCGTTTCAAGGCAACAAGAATCAGGGTGCAAACTTGTCAGGGTTTCTAGATGGCAAATGCCGAGACCAAAGCAACGACTAATTCTTGGCAACATGGGAGATTCGAATAACTCCTGCTGAGGGGAAATGACAAAGATATGATACCCGAAGAGATAAAAAGAGAAATTGCGCACTCTGCATTAGAAGACACTAGTAAGTGCAGCTCCGTAATCCGTGTAAGACGAGCCCATCTTCTCAATATCGTAATCGTTCCAGTACCCACCGCCCGCCACCACGTATTGCGAGAACCAGCTTGCAAATCGTTGCTGGGCTTGAGTCGCAGTCGTTCCTTGAGACGGCTTTGCGTCATTGACTACCCACACAAGAGGGATCACCTTCATGCCGAGGGTCGTCTGCCACGTTCCAGGATTGTTGCCAGCTCCGCCGTCGTAGACTTGGAGGTACACCCTATCGAACAGACCAGGGTTCGCGGATTCAACTTGTGTTCTGACGTTCGCCCAGAAGCCACTGTTGGTGTACGGCGCAATAGAATACTGGTAACCCATCTTTCCAAGCATCTTAGCAAAACTGACTGTGCTCGCCACGTCATAGACGCCCTCATCGTCGTTGTTGAATGCGTCAAGATCCCACTCGGCCTTCAGAACCTCAAAGTTCTTGTACAACTTTGTGTCAGATCCTGTCCCGTCTGCGTTGATCAAATCGCGGATGATCTGAAATGTCGTGTCATGTGACACCAGCGATATCTCCACCCTGTTGATGTTGGTTGTGCCCGTCTTGAAGGATTTAACCTTTTCCGCCAACGCGGTTCCACCAACATATGAGCCATTCGTCACCACGGGCGCGTCGACTGCCTCGCCTGCGTCTCCTGTTGAGTAGTAGACGAGATCGCCATTGCCGAGGAGACCGATACGGAAGATGAGGAGGGTGTCGAAGCCGGAGGTCTTGAGAGCTGTGGTGTTCGACTGGAGAACATCCTTGAAGAGGAAAATGCTCTTCACGCCGGCGGCTGCTGCGGCATTGGCGAAGAGTGACAATAGCACCCAAGTCAGGGTGAAAAGACCGGCTCTCTTGGAGACTCCCATCATTGCGCACAGGATAACCTGGTTTTCTTGAAGAAGCTATGCAAACGTTAGCTTCGACCCAGCCGCCCAATTCTGAGACGACAGGCCGCAGTCTTTATGGGCAGCGTCAGTCCATAGCAAGAACGCAAGCAATAGCTTCTTGAGTTGCGGACGTAACGTAACAAATGCAATGACAGGCCGAACCAGGGCCAAAAGAGTTTATTGCGACTCTGTGGATCGTCTTGATTGGCCAATGCCCCGCTGCCCATGCATATCACTTCGCTCGGACTTGCTGAGGTTATCACGCCAAGGGGTTGTGATCCGGCCGAGATAACCTGATATTGAGGTCCCAAGTCTCCTCTTAGGCTTTCTGCAACCCCGAATGCGACCTGATCCTTCGAAATGCTACGGTCTGTAAGCGCTATTTGAATGCCTTTGGGAAATCGCTGTGAAATGAGGCAGATCGTCTTGGCTTCCCCGCTTAACATCTGCCACCTGCCTAGAACAGTTCCTGGTGCCGAAAGTCGGAATGGCTACCCCTCTCTGATGCGAGGTCTTATTTAAATCAAAACTGATCAATTATCGAAAATATCGGAAATACTGTAAATAATAGGGAAAGACACGCTCCTGAGCCTGTAATGGCACCAAGCTCGTGGAAAATTATAATGTCCCGTTTGGCCACGATGTCGTCTGTATATTAACTACTATTTGAGATTTCTCGTTTTCTTTCTGCTAGGTCTACCATCCTTTCATACCCTCAACTCTTAGCACTGTAATCAGGTAGCGCGAAGTACGGAAGGGAGGCTACTCGAGAGATCACATGGTAGGCTAGTATTTCTATGCAGGGGAGAATCCTTGTGACAAATAGTAAGGCTCTAAATTCCCTTGAAAAGTAGAGGCTTTCTAGTTACGGTAGAGTGCTTTGGTGATATCAGTGCCTAGATGTCTTACAGAGGGACCTACCACTTTCTTACAGTTTGAACGTTGAGCAGTCCGTTGTTCCATCGTATCATTTTACATCTGGTGGTTTTTTCCCGGCTTTACAGGCGCAAAAGATCGGCCTTAATGGGATCAGGCTTTCGGGGAAATCACACGATACGATATTGTTATTTTATATACACCTAGACAAAAATCAGCAACAATGCATTGGGTAGGACACAGAGGACGCTTACTCTCATCTCCTTCCCTCACCGCCTGATTCTTCGGCCTGAGTTCTTCTCTCGGATCGTAGCACGGCAACCTTGGCTATGGAAGACGGGTAATGAACAAACGGCCGCGAAGTCAAGAGATCATCAGGCGCCCACATCGGTAGGAAAAAGGGCCAGTACTTCAAACCTAGGATGGAGAGGTCGATAGTAAAATATCTCGCGGCACATATATCAGGCGCCGCAGTCGGTGTGGGCGTCCACTCGATTTCGCTGAGATCGTAACCTCCAGCGGAGAAGAGCACCGGCGACCCGAACTCGGCCCCCTTCGAGCCGTAATCCATGAGGTATAACTTGGCCGAAAGAAGCCCACACATAGTCCGTTCCAAGAGGCGGATAAAGCAAGCCCGGGGACCTGGTTGATTAATCATGGACTTGATGTCTTCGGTGGGCTGGATGCCCCAGTCGTCGGTGAATTCGAACGCGATGTGCAATAGTTGGGTTCCGTCGTTTTGGAAGAAGGGACGGAGGGCGGATAATGCGTCTCCGACGGGGACGTATGCGTCGGGTGCAACTTGGAAGATGATGAGATCTTTGCCTGGAAGGATGCTTGATCCGGAAGCGCTTTGTACAGGTTGACTATGTCGTGTAGAAGAGCTGTGGCCGCTAGAAGGGTTCACCAGCGTTGCGTAATGCTTTTGAACCACGTCTCTGGACTCCTTACAGGCGGACCAAAGGCCGGCATCGACGCGGTATGTCGAAGGATCTGACTCGGACCACAGACACCGCTTTTTTGGTGTGTATGTAGGATTGGAAAGAACATAAGTCTCGTATTGGTGAACTTGCGTTGGTGTTTTGTGTGTAAGATCGGTTGACATAGTAGTCGTAGCTCGGCCTTTGATAGAGAAGACGTGAAAAGCTGGGTCTGCAGACCGAAGATTGCATTCCCACACTTGTAGTCGCACCTCGACAGGGAGTAAGCCAAATTGGTGGAATGTTGTAGCCATGATTAATCAAGAGTCGGGTTTGGACGTTGGTGGTGTTTCCGGATTTCTGATGCAGGACTTTTCTCAGTATAAGATGTAAGAGACGAAATCAATCGAAGAATGGTCTTTGATATATCTTAGGTGTTGCCAGATGCTGGATATGTGCTGGAGAAAAGAAACTTGACAGCGATGCGGGAAATAATGCCACAGATTCCGTATACCTTTTGGTTCCATGGCTTCTGTATGTCGGCCATCCATCACCTTGAAGTCCAAATGACTGAACCGCAGAATCCATGAACTTTGTTCTGAAAATAAACGGATGCCGTTGTTTGCTACAACTTGAATACTCAGGCTACCGTATGTAGGTATGCTGAAGTTGGAGTGCTCATTACTTGGAGCTGGTGTTGCGGGATCTTCACTCGAGGAGAGTCTCGTCTACGATTTAAGTCACCTCAACGGCTGATTAAGACACAGCTCGAGGACCATAATGTTATCAGAAGGAAGAATATCCCTTTGATTCCTATGTTAAATGAACATAGCAAGCATGAGTGGTGCATCATCTTCGAGATTGAGCCTTTCAGCCATCGAAGAATGGAGTAAAACCTCGTATTGTGATGAGCGCCAGACAATCACCTTAGATGCCAGAGCCCAGCATTTGTCCGAAGCCTCTTTTCCTCAGGTGCGCAACCGATTCATCTGAACCGCCCATACGTCACGCTCCTAGGTTCGTGCGTTTCTAGGACCTCGCATCTGGACCTGATTGGCGAAACTCTCAACTTCAGCTGGCGTGAAACTCTTCCCCAAAAGACATGGATGCACCAGAACGGACTTGTTCGGAGCCGCCTATCATGGATATGTGTTAATGCTCACATGCAGATTTCAACTCTTAGTTTCTCTACATCAACTCGTAGATATGGTTTTGGGGCATTCATGCAAGCTCAGTAGACGTCGGTTGTCACCTGTTTTTTAAATATATACTGCCACCTATTTTCCAAACTTAACTTCCTCTAAAGGGCAGCGACAAGAGTCGAGACGAAGAATGAGAAAACAATCCATGAATTTGAACGTGCAATCTCTAGGGAATCTCCTCCAACCACAATGCTGCTCTTTCTACCCAACCGTGGCAATCTAGTCTCTAGAAACTCTCTAGGGGAATGACAGCCTAGACACCTCAATCTCATCTTACTATGAAGATCACGAAAAGGCCACACAATCACCGACTCTCGAGCACATCCCAGACAACCTCCTCATGAACAACATGCGTCCCAACACTCAACGCCGCACCCGTCATCAACAGCACCTCGCAAGGCAAAGCCCGATCCCCAATCCTCACAGTCCGCCTCCACCCCTCCCCTTCCTTCCACTCCCACCTCTCCGCCGCAACCTCCTCCCCGACCCTCGAAATCCCCTGACAGAACCGCCCCAACCACACAACCATACCCCGCGCCCCGCTCGTCTCGTCCTCGTGCTTGAGCACAACGCACTCAACACCCTTCGGAGCCTCGCCGCCCTCGGCCACGGCACCGACCGGAGGAACCGTAACGGGCTCGACGTCCTTCCACAGCTCTTCGTAATCCGTCTCCGTGCCGGTGGCAGGGTTCACCATCCGTCCCTTTTCGAGCGTCAACCCGTCGGGCTGCTCGTACATGTCGCCCTCGTCGGCCGCGTTCTCGGGCTCCGTCGTGCGCGAGTCGATCCAGTGCTCCCAGCGCGAGTGGCGCACCTCGGCGCCCTGGTCGTCGGTGCGGGTGGACGACGACGAGGTTCCTGCGATGCCCCATTCCAGGCGCTCGATGCCGTGCGTATCTTTGTGGGTGTTAGCTCTAGAGTTGTCTGGTAGTCGCGGTGGCTTTTGGGGGTTCTGGGCCAGGTCGCGTGTGAAAACGACGTTGGAATTTACCTTGCACGCCATCGACGGTTGGCGTTTGCTTCAGAATGCGGAGGTCCACGAAACGGCGCTGCGGGGACGTGAGCACTATGGTCGAGGTCGGCTCGCTCGCCTCATCGGGGATCCAGCGGATATGCTCGCGGAACGAGATACTACCCATGATGATGAACGAAACTTTAAAGGATCTAGAAACTGTGTCTATGCTGCAAATGACAACGGTTCACACTTGAGGTTGCGCGATATGCAACATTAAAAGACAAGGCTATGTGGTGGTGGTGGTGGTGGTGGTGGTGGTGGTGGTGATGGTGGGGGAACAAACAAGGTCACACGGGCAAGGCGTTGATTGAATCGTCGATGTCGCGCAGATCTCCACTTTCAGCCGATGAAAAGCCTCACGCCGTCATCGCCCGTCGATCCGGAGCCTCCCTCAGATCTGGGCGCTTCCAACGGCTTTTCAGCCCGTGAAAATACGTTACTTGGGAACCTTGATTCTCTATGTGAGGTCTATGATCTAAGTCTATGTGTAATGTCTTGTGTTTTTACAATCGTCCCTTCTCTCACACACAATCGCGCTTCTTGCGGCGAAAAGGCAGTGACGCGCCATCCCAAATCATCACGCCTTACGCGGCCTTCTCGAGACGCTCGACAATGTCGACGAGACCCTTTACTTTTTCCTCGCAGTCAATCTTGCTCTGTTCTTGCGCCTCGTATGTCTCCCGTAGCCGGTCGACCATGAAGGGCTTCAGTGGCGCCCTCTTGGCGGTCTTGTAGTCGTAGACCACGATATCCTCGAAGCAGCGGGCGGCAGGGCGACGGTGGCCCTCGGAGACGAGAAGAGCTTCAAGTAGGATGAAATCTGATTCGTATGTCGGCTTGGAAACAAGCTTATGGAGGACCGTCACGTGGTCTGGGTAGGCCATTGGCTTCACATTGGTTGTCAGTGTGAGCGATTCAGGTGTTTTAGACTCAACCGCCGCGGCGCCAAAAATACAACGACTTTCGGTTCCTGGTGGTTCCTGTTGATGAGAGTGTCACTCACAAACTTGTAGTCCGTTTTGATGCTTCTCATGATGAGGCCAATGTCCTTTGGGCTCATGAGCTGGTCCCACTCATCCTTGTGCTCAGGATCCACCGTCGTCGCAAAGTTACGAAGCCAGTTGACCCGCGCCGACTCGGCGTACTTGTTGTAGACGACATTGTTTACATGACCTACAGATGTGAGATTGAGATTCATGGTGTATTCGGGGTGCGAGCCATACCCTGTAGTACCTTATGTCAGTTTATTGTCTCCCTTCCTTTGGGGAGTCAGGCTCCGGTTCAACTCACCATTGCATCCTGATTTCCATCACAATCAGCACCCAATTCATCTCATCCCTTGAAAACTCATGGTGTAACAGGAACTCACCTGGTCTCCCCAAGTCACTGTATGTCTGTCAAGGCCCCTCCACCCGGGACCGGTGAGGAACCCCTCCCGTCCGGCGAGCAACTCCAACCACTGCCCATCGACAGCCTTCCGCAGAGCCGCCAACTCCTCCTTCTGCTGCCCGCTGAGGTCGAGCCCGGCGCACCGCTTGATGCGCGACTGCAGCTCAGAAAGCCATCGTGGGTTCAGCGGTGGCGCAGACGCTGGAGATGAAGTAGCGGCGGCGACACTCTTTGCAGCGGTGGTCACGAACGATCGACGGGTTGTATGAAATGTCGAGGGGCGGGCCAGGCCGGGGCTGAGGACAATTGAGTTGCGCATTTTTGAGTTGCTTACCGCGGGTATCTATCGAAATGTAAAGCGAGGAAACGGAAAAGAGAATGCTAGCGAAGCACAAGATGAAGAATCTGATTACAAGTCCGGCGAAAGGTGGATGGCGGGAAAGTGAGGAAATTCGGCTTCCGTCGGCTACGCGTTGCGAGTCGGTGCAGAATAAGGGAAAGTATCCCGTAAGATAAGGTAATCTGAGTGCACGCCGGGTGGAAGTGGATGTTGTAAGTTGAATTTGGCCTGAAGGCTGGCCCTTTCCAGCGGGTTCTTGTTGCAATTCCCGGCCTGCGTTATTGCCGCCCGTTGGCTTGGGTCGGTAGTTGGAGCGCGCCCATTGTGCTGGTAAAGAGCCATAGGGCGTGGGGGGTTCCGGCTCGGACTTTCGGTACGAGGTATCTCGACGTAATTAAGCACATTATTCAGGCATTTTGGAAGGTGTTCCCGTAGGGAAAGAAGATGCCTATGTATCTATTTGCATAGAGCAGGTGCAGAATCGCAACTTCTACGATGAAGTCAACATGAGAGTTCCATCAGATGCGGTATCTTCAGTAGGGTGAGCTTGCGTTCTTACATTCTCGCTGTGCCTCTATTCGATCCCGGGTCCATCTGGCAGGGCCAACGATTCACACCTCCAAGGCCCGGAGCCCAGGCTTAGTAGTGAAGCTTCTTCCCTAGTAGCACCGTGCGTCTGCCGCTTGATGAGAAGGGACCGATCATTCTTTTGCGGTCTTTAGCTCTTGATCTACTCATTTCGAATTATCCAGATCGAGATGATGGAATGGATGCGCCCAATAAGCCACATATCACCTCGTAGCAAGCTCTTGAGCTTCGCCAAGTGAGGTTGGAGTTTACCTTTGGTTTGTGGCGGTGCATGCGATGCAACATTGGCAAAACCCCTCCATCTCTCATGGAATCAACAATAATCATGTCAAGGGTTCCCTGGTATCTCGTAGTGTTTGTATCGCAAACGCAGTCCTCGCTGAAGATTTGTCTTTGTTGAACCAAGGCAGTGATGAAAGCAGCTACTAAGAACCCCCCCGGCTGCATCCGTGAGACGCGCTGAAGGGTTTTGGCAAGGGGTCGAGTGCATGCCCATCTCCAGGACCCTGAGAACAGCTGAGGTAAGCACGCGTGCATTATATAATTAAAATGTGGAGCTTCCTTGCTTACCTAAGTGAGTATCTTGGTGAAGTAAGGTAAGCTACATGAGGAAGCAGGAACCAACCAAGCTGCCTCCTGCTGGCAGTTGCGTCCTGTGCGGCGGGGGGAACCTGGGCGGAAGGCAGCTCCGAGCTGCAACGGGAGCGGTGGTCATAGCTTCCTCCTCCTCCTGCCTTGCCTGCCCCACCTTCCAGATCAGGGAGGACGCCGGACCGACCAACGACACTGCAGTTTGCCAGCGCGCAAAAAAGTGTCCAGTGCGTCTTCCTGGGCGGCGCATCCGGTTGACGCGTCTGTCCGGCTTGAACTCTTTGCAATGGTCTCGTCAGCATAGAAGGCATGCAATTTGTCGACGGTTCATACTTTTGTTTTAGATCTACTATACTCGGTTATTGGTGTTCTTATGACTCTTTCGACATGATGATCATTCTGTAGGCGGCTGTGAAGAGGGAAAGGGGGACCCTTGTGGTACACGCGTCAAAAGTCAAAACAATGAAGTCGCAGCCTCGTACGAGTATCTGGACCAACTGCAATGCAGTCAAACAGACGGTAGAATGCAAAGCTCCTGATCAAGAGTACTCGATTTGGGACCTTTGGAAGCAAGAATCTCACCGCGCTCCCTATCATATCTTGTAAGTGAATCGCGCGCGAGAAGGCAGGAAGGCGATCGTTCAGCGAGGCTACCCGCGTGCCTCGCCCGCGAACATCCGGTCCCTGTCTATCAGACCGAGCGCCTACCAAGAAGAGTACAAAGTCGGTAGTTTCGCAGAAATACTCGAAAGGACTTCCTGCAGATTGAAATACCCACGGATTAATACCATTGACGATGTGTTTCGCGACGCAAGGTGCTTGCTGCTAGAAAGCAGCACCACGTGACACATGCTTTCCTCCCCCCTTTCTTTACTGCCAGGTAGGTCGCAAGACTTGCTATAGCTGCGTTGCCAATATTATCTCTAGATTGACATCGATATCTCTTGACTCATTTCCTTAATCAGGCTCGACAACTGTTCATAAGTTCCAGACAAGTTGACGATGTGTTGGCCATGGTAGTTTATGAGGCGGTGACGGACACACGTGTTCTGCTCCTCCACCTTGGGCAGACATGCGTCAATCTAGAAGCGCCAGCCCGGACGAGAGCAATTTCGATGAAAAGAGAAAGAAAAAAAGTGACCAGATAAAAAATTAAATCTCAGAAGTTCACGGCGGAAATTTCATTATCTTTCACTAGTGTGCAGCGATGGTATCCCGCTTTTGGCTGGAAGCGCTGGCAAAATGCGAATAGCTTCCATCGCGTCTCTTGCACTGGATTGAATTATTGGCGCTGGTGGCACGAAACCAGCTCCAAATTGCCCATAACCCCATGCCTCAATGGGAGTAGTCACTGTGATACCATAGAAGACGTGATTGACGAGTTTAGGCAACGGGATGGCCGTAGGCACGCGGATGAGGCGATGCACCTCATTTCACCGGTCGCGTGGCCCCATCACGATGGCATGAAACGATATACTCGGTGTAAGTCAAATCGGGCTAGGAAAATGATAGAAATTCAACAAAAATATCGCCGAGCAGATTGTCGACCAAGATGATGGAATCCGGTGTTTTCTTGATAAATTTCGGGGTGCCGTTGATGATTGTAACCATGGTGGTGCAAGATGTGCGGATAGCTTCAATTTGGACGAAGCGCGACCGAATCACAACAGTCGGGATCGGGGGTTGGGAATGTGCGCGCAATGTCAGAGCCGCAACACGCGATAAACAGAGGGAAAAGTGCATAAAACGATAGAGAAAAATTCGAGCAACAAAACAAAACAGTTAGCGCGAGACGAAACCGAAAGACAGAGGCATCAGAGCGGATGCGACGGATGGCATTGACGGTCGGAGGTAAAAACGAAGGTGGGCGATGATGCAAAATCGGGCTTCTCGGCGGGGGAAAGGCGTGAGAGTGGGAGGGAAATTGGGGCCGGGTCGGAGGACGGTGGATCGGCGGACGCAAGACTTAAAAACGTGGCAACGGCAAGCCATGAGTCATTTTTTGTAATGGAGGGTGAGTAAATGGGAAGAAGAGGGAATCAAGAGGGAAGAGAAAGAGGAGAAGGGCGAGGAGAGGAGAGGGTGGTTGAGGTGGGCGATGAGAATGAGTTTGGTGGGAGATGGGAGACCCGCGAACGTGTGCGGCATCAGGAGAGCAGCGAGAGCAGGGACGACGGAGCAAAAGGGGACTGAGTGAGCACTCGGTACGGGGAGGGGAAGGACCAACGGTCCACGGTCCACGGGGGAAGCAGGCACGCTGGCGGCAGGACCTCACGGCGAGGAATATTTGGACCAATCAGAAAAAAGGAAAGTAGACGAATTTTGGAAAATAAAAAGGTGACAGAAGGGAAAATGGAGGATGAAGTACAAGGGCGATGTACCTTTTGTTCGCCTCTCCGTCCCGTCTGGTGCTTTCTGAATTCTGAGGCAATTGAGCGTGGCAGAAAACATGGCAGTTTGGATGGGAAAGAACGGGCGGGTGGTGCATGTGGCAGGTGCAGGAGCAGGAGCCAGGAGCCAGGCGGGGACCCGGAGGAAGGAGGGAAAGAACCATGCACCTCCTTCCTAAGATTCTGGGACCGGCTGATCTTGAACTGCTCGGCGGGAAGAAGGCGCAGAGAAGGTGGATGATTGTACACCTTCCTCTGCCCTGTGTCCTCCATCGAGGGCAGGAACTCGGGGCGTTGAGCTAATGGAAGGTAGGTACTGCGGCTATGGCTCTGTCCTACGTACCTTGCTTAGTAGGCATCTCACTCCATCGTTCTTAGGCAGTTCTCGTGAGGTGAGTCTCATCTCAGAGACTCATACACCTCAAACTCACTAGGAACGGCAGTAGAAAAACACCAGAAGACTACCCCGGTCCTCTTAGGGCAGATGACTGGAGCACCCGTTGAGGGGTGCAGCGTGGCAACTGGCGAGGGGAGATGTGCTGGAACCTCCCACTATCCACACGACAGCACTCACTATCCGCAAGGAGGAGTGCGGCGTGCCTTACATCAACCCTGGGGCGGACAGGGAAGACCAGGGGCCCGTCCAGGGTATGACGGCGGAGACGACAGAAGCCTCAGAAGCTTCATGCATAGCCTGGAGCTTGGGGCTTGGGGAGCTCGAGTGCTTCCGGCGACGGAGGTGAACTGGGCTGATTGATCTGAGCTGAGCTTCCTTGGTTGAGATGAGAGGTGAGGGGCGCTGCTTGGCCGCCGTCCGCGTCTTCCACCAACTCAAAGGGCAGCCCGTTCGACTCGACTAACCGTTACCGTTTGTTTATCAGAACAATAAGAGATGGCACTTGACAATCTAAACGTCAAAATGGATACCAGAGAAAAAAAGATTGGTCCATTATCAAAGGGGCAGAAGAAAGAGGCCGTGGACCGAGGCGAGTAAGGCCGTGCTGGAATCTGTCACCGGCCGAGGATTTCTTAGAACACCCACCATACCATCGCGGCGGCTGTAGTCCTGGACACGTCCAAAATAGACACGCACGTCTCTCCCGCTCCCGCACTAATCGGCGATTTGAGTCGAAGAAGATACTCCGCCGACGGATGAGGGCAATGAGGTTGACTTGGGAGTGACGCGGGAAGAGACGAGAGACACAATGAGATGTGGAAAGTCGAGACAAGCAGACGTCAAAGGGCATCATCTCAAAGCTGGGGCGCTATGGCATGCTGTTGTCTATCCGGACACATCACAACCAAGTCGACGTACGCGTAGAGCTGTCAGGCTGTGGGATTACGCCGTTCATAGTCATGGAGAGAAGCACCCTTGCGACTTCCCCGGGCCCTTGCCAGATCCAACGGGAGACAGCTTTTAAGTTTATTCTAGGCTACCGTGGTCATTTGATGGTATCATTGGCGTGTGAAGCAGATAAGTGAGTGAGACGCGAAGTGAGAGAGAGAAAGAAAGTGACTGAAGGTTGAGAGGGGGAAGGCCCCAGGCCCCCCAGTCCGCGTGATTTAGCGACCATCCCCCCCAAAATGGACGGGGGATTTGGAGGGCCCAAAAGGCACCCGCACCAAGCCAAGAGGGAGGAGAGGGGATTAAAAAAAAGAAGGCACCTCAAGGCTCACCCTCAAAAAAATCCAACGCCCGCGCCCGCGCCCTCAGGTCGTCTCCCCAAAAGTTACTGATTGCGCACCGCGCCCAACGGCCCCCGCCCATTTATAAAAACAAGCCCCATCCCCTCCACGCACGCGCTCCCCCTCCACCCTCTCGTTCCGGACCTCTTCATCTCTCGCCTCTCTCAATCACCACAACGCGTCGATTTTAATTCTTGCAACTTTTCTCAAAGTACACCCGTCTTCAAACCGACTTCAATCGACATTTCGATTGAATCCTGCTTCTAAGCAACCCTTTACGCTTTACGCATCCACATAACCTCCCAAAACAGTCACAATGCCTCCCAAGAAGACCGAGGGCGCCGCTGCTGCCCCCAGCAAGAAGTCCACCCACGCCAGCTACCAGGTTTGTACCTCAACCAGTCCGGCTTTTTGCATGACGCGTTGGTTGCTAACTCTCTACAGGACATGATCACTGATGCTATCGTTGCTGTATGTTTTACCGCTCCTCCATCTCCGGCGCAAAGGGTTACGCGATCGGAGGACCCACGAGCTGGGTCAGCTGCCATTCGCGCCTAGCGCCCGTGACCTTCGATCGCGCTACCCTCCACCGCCTCGACGATGGTCCACCTATTCTTGTGTTGCCTTTAATTGACTCACCTTCCCTCCTACAGCTCAAGGACCGTAACGGATCTTCCCGCCAGTCCCTGAAGAAGTACGTCAAGGCCAACAACCAGATCAACACCGTCAGCGACAACATGTTCGACTCTCTCTTCAACAAGGCCCTCCGCGCCGGTGTTGAGAAGGGTGTCTTCGAGCAGCCCAAGGGTATGTCACCGCATGTCTGCCTCTTTAAGTCTTTGAAACAATACTAACATCCCTCAAGGTCCCTCCGGTGGCACCAAGCTCGCCAAGAAGGCGCCCAAGCCCGCTGAGAAGAAGGCCCCCGCAAAGAAGGAGGCCAAGGAGCCTAAGGAGAAGAAGGCTGCTGCGAAGAAGGAGACCAAGGAGCCCAAGGAGAAGAAGGCTGCCGCTCCCAAGAAGGCCGCCGCCAAGAAGGAGACCAAGGAGGCGAAGGAGCCCAAGGAGAAGAAGGCCGCTGCCCCCAAGAAGGCTGCTGCCGAGAAGAAGGAGAAGAAGCCCGCCGCCAAGAAGGCTGCTGCCGTATGTTGACCCCTTACCTCTTTCTCACTTGCCCAGCACTGACATATCTCAAGGCCAAGGAGGAGAAGCCCGCCGTCCTCAGCAAGACCAAGACTGGTCGCGTCACCAAGACTGAGAAGAAGGCACCGGCCGCCAAGAAGGAGGCCAAGGAGCCCAAGGAGAAGAAGGCCGCCGCTCCCAAGAAGGCTGCCGCCCCGAAGAAGGCAGCGCCCAAGAAGGCCGCCGCCGACAAGAAGGAGGCCAAGGCTGAGGCTCCCGCTGCCACGGCATAAGGTGTCACTCTTACCTTGTTTCCCTTACCTTGAACGATGATGCAATGTCGAGTAACTCTACTCGGCTCTCCGCACAACTGTTTTTGTGTCACGAAATCTTGTCGAAAGGCGTTTACGGGAGTTGTTATTTAACTAACTGGGAAAGGGCAATGGGCCGGGAAGCGTTGGTGGGAAACCAACCTGGGGGGGAAACGCAACTGCGTTGTCTTGTTGTCTTTGTTTTTGTCTTGATGGTCTTTTCTATATGTTGCGGTTGCTTTTGATCGAGCGCGACGCGTGGTTGGGGGGCTTGGGATTGTGCTGAATGCTTTGAGAGAGAAGATTCCCGCTTTGGCGACACGAGAACGGATTCCCCCTTCCGACTACTGTAACTATAGCTCGCGCGATATACCAACGATGGGAGCCTTTCACTGTTCATGCGATGTTCTCCTGATTTGTGCAATTCTCGTAATGTGAACTGGCGCGTCTTCGACGACCTGGAAAGACGGCAAGACCGAGTAAAGGTAGAGAGTTCGCTCAGGGGCACGGCAAATGCGGCGATTCGCTTGCAATTACCGGGTGGCACTGGAAGGAAATGATATTACAGGATACAAATTGTTTACCATCTTGTTTGATGCTCGCCTGGGTCTTGGCTGAGCTTCCGGGTACGGGAACGACAATCTCTGACCAAGTCGCGATAAGAACGGGCAGCAGCATGGAAAAGGGAGAAATTGGAACAGAACGAGCTGAGCTGCCGCCGCGCCGCTGTACTCTAAGGAGACTGAATGTCTGAGAAAACGAGGACGCGCCGTGAGAACCGGAGACTGGGACCCTGGGCAGGGTACCGTCACCGTGTTTCTCCCCCATGGCAGTTTCGGAGTGGAGCCGACGCGGTTCATCCTTCCCAGGGTCTTTTTTTTTTCTTCTTGTTTACATTGATGGACTTTTTTCAAGCCCGTCCCGTCCTCTGACCTTTTCTCTTCCTCCGGTTCCGTGTGTTGATTTAACCGCCGGACGGGCCACCGCGTCGCTGGAGAGGAAAGAAGTAGGAATAGATAAGGCTGCGAGGGAAGGCTAGCTTGGCTTGGATACGGGGGAATGTGAGAGGCTTGAGAGCTGAACAGAGTCCGTGCCGTTGGTGAAGTTGTCACGCGCGCGCTCTCTCGTCTCTCATGGCCTGGCAGCGCGGAGGAAGATGCTTCTTCGTCTTTTCTGGATGGTTTGCTGTGGATTACAGATTTACAGATCGATCTATAGCTGGGTAAACATGTTTGGATATGTGGTATTATTCCAGCTGTAGCGATTTTGGGCGGCATTGTGGTTCCTGACTGATGTTCCGAGTTGACCCTGTACCTTACCCCTCCTCTGGCTTATAGTCACAATACAGTGGGTGAGACGTTTTCTTAGTGGTCTGACTCTGGGACCGGACGTGACTTGGTCTGAGACGAGGCGCGCCCGTCGCCGGTGATGGTCCTACAGTCTGGCATAGAATAGTCCCGTCGAGCTATGCGGTTCTCTACGAAAGGCATTCCAAGGAGATTTGTCTTGAATCGCTATCTGCGATTCTGAAGTGCGAAAGAGGTAAGAAGATGAGAAAGTATGAGTGACCGTAGTCCTCGGAGAAGAGATGTTTCGCCGCTGAGCTTTTCCCTCATGTAGATTGTCCATGGTTTGAGTCGTGAGTAAGGATTTGTTTGACCAGCTTTTCGGATCGGGGCCAGCCTACGTGCCCGTCTTACGTACCATGTAGGCGTGTCGGGCGGTCATTCAGCGTATTTTGAGTTAGGAGAGGATACGGGGATGGACGGCCTAGACGGGTTGACACGTGCGATGAGGAGGAGATGGTACCAGACTATGTGCTGGTTGTTGATCCTGAGATGAGGAGTGGTGCTCACTAAGGTAGATATGCTGTGTAGGAGAGCACGGCTGGTCATGGTGTTCGTTACTTGCTCTTCTTTGCAGATAGCTAGCCATATAGTGAGTCCCATCGACGGTCAGTGATTCGTATAATCGAATGTTTAGCAGAAGGACACTGTGGATAGATAAGTGAGTCCTGTGAAAAGGAGGCCCGGATGTGCTGGGTAGAGATTATCACGTGGGCAACGGTGAAGAGTGCCGTAGGAGTGTTTGACAGCGTCGTGCCCAGTGTCTACGCAGGAGTAGGATAGGCCAGAGGGATGGAGGAGTCTGAGAGGTGGCGGTGCGGGGAAACGCCTTGGGGAGAGAGGAGACTGAGAAGAAGAAGAGGTGGAAGGGACAGCGTCACGGGCAGTTGTAACGGCGTCAAATGTCGAGCTCGGAGCTTCCTCTAGGACGGCGAACAGAGGCGGAGAAGTTGGCCGCGGCTCTTCCGCTGGCCCCTCTCTGTGTCCGTCTCCCGCTGTCTATTCTGCTGTCTCTGTGTCTAGGAGTTGTCGCCTTGCCGATGTTGGTGCAGGTACGAACACATGTTGCGTATCGTGCGGTGCAGTGAGGTGTGAGGGAAAGAACCTTGAGACAGGTGCACCGGAGATGTCGCTCGGCATGAGGTCCGGGCTGCCAGCGCGTGTGCAAGTGGTGCAGAGCAGTGAAGAGCAGTGCGGTGCGGTGCGGTGCGGTGCGGTGCATGTTGCAGGTGTCCAGTCATCAGTGGACCTACGGTGACTTCCCAGGTTGGATGACAAGGAGTGACGTGGATAGCTAGCCCCGAGCTTGCTTTCCCATTGGTGTTCCTGAAACAAACCTAGATGTTTTGAGGGGGGAACGTTGGGCAACTTGGTGCTCAGCACGCAGCGAAGGTGTGCGTACAACGTGGAAGCGCATCGCGGTGAGGTAAGCAGGGAGGGGAGGGGCAGAGGCGAGGAGACAAGAGACAACCTGGGAGCTGTGAGTATGAGATTCGGACTATCCGTATAAGCACCTGGCTAAGCACTACTAGAGTATCTCAGACAACTTGGGTGTCGGTGTGGTATATGCCCTCACCTGTTGATCCGTACACTTTTACTCCGTGACTCTGTACTCCGCACATAGCAGTCTTGATCCATGTCCCAGGATCCCTGTTGTCAATCCGGAACGGCTTGAGCGACAGGTGCAGGGGGCAACCGTACAGTTGGGGGCGACGCGGCGACGCCCCGGCATGTCGAGGATTGAAGGGAGTGTGATCTGAGCGTTGAAGGGTCCCGTCACGGCCGTCGTACGAGTGCAGTCACGTACGGGGACTATGGAGGAGGGTTGATGGTTGTCCTTGCCATGAAGAGTGAGGCGGCACATTCAGGTCTTTGCAAAGAGTGACCCTTGATACTGAGGGAAGGGTCTGAAGAACGGGGAGTGAGATGCGAACACAACCCAAGAAACACAGGTCACCGTGAGGCATAAGATCATGCGTCTGTGAGCTATGAATTGTGAGTGGTAAGTAAGCCTCTGTATGAGTGAGAGAGCATTGGTGAAGGAATGAGTGAGTTAGTGAAAGAGAGAGAGAGCATGATCTGGCTCGTGCGCATCCATCCTCCCGTCCGTTTCGGGGTATGTGGGGGAGAGTGTTAGGTGCTGAGGCCAGCTACCTAAGGTGCTGGGTACGGAGTACTTGGCAGCATACATGTTGCTTGTACCTTTCTTTAACGATACCTTCCCTTGGGTACTAGTTGATGGCAGATGCTCTTTCCTCGATGCTGCCGACAGGAAGGAAAGGCAAGATATGGGGAGGAACATCGCCTTCTCTCTTTGTGCCTGCCTCCTACTGCGAAGTACTTGCGTCAGCCTCAGTCGTTCTCCTGATCCACCAGGCTCGACTCTCGAGGCAACACCTTAGGGGACAGAGCTTGCATCTGCAGCTGCCTTGGCTGGAACAGCAGAGCTGCACGTCTGGAACTTGTTCTCCCCCTCACCCTCTGCCTATGAGCAAGTACCTGTCACTCCCTATCAGCTTAGGTACCTGCACCTGTCATTACTGTGTAACAGAGGTACCGGGCTGAGGTGGAAACAACCAACCGGCCTTACCTGGACTCGGGCGATCTAAACGGGACAGGACGACACCAAACGGGCTCCTCTTCTTCATCATTTCCCCTGCCATTTGCGAATACTTATGTACAGTCTTATGGAGTACATACGTAGGCAATTATGTACTTACCGCCCGCCGCCAGGTTCCATCGGCCTCCATCAAAAGTGTCGTCAATTACCACACACTGAACACAACCCACCTCACTCTTCGATAACTTCCATCGATAGCAAGGTACCTTACCTACTTTGCGATCATCGATAAGCAGATAAAGCCCCCCTGGCGCTTGTCTTATCCGCTCCCGCATTGTATCGAATCGCACCGTACCGTCCCCTCGGACTGACGTCTTGTTTCTGTCCAATCTCATCTCATCATCCACCAACTCCTCCGTTCCCCGACACGTCCAGTCCAGTTCAAACCCAACATCTATCCGCCAGCACTAGCACCAGCACTGCCACTACGGACAGACACCACTTCTCTCCCCACGCCGTGCCGTACTGCTGCGTCTACCAATATTACCCTCGTACTTTAGTTTGTCTACTCTCATCGTATCTACCAGCACTTATCAGCACATCCTCATCCATAACCGCTGCTCATTCTCAACCCAACAGCATCCCTCGGCGACTTGGTAAGCACCAGAACGTGGACCCCTCGTTTTCCCCATTGGGCTGCCCGTCATCCCGAACCCGAACCCAATCAGTCCGCCCTTCCACCGTCCCTTGCGACTCAAGTGCTTGCCAACCGATTCTTCCGGTCAACGAAACTGACGCTCGCCCGCAGTACCCGTGGCCGCACCCCGTACCCCGTACCAGTAACAGTACCAACCAGTACCTGACCACCAATAACCCCTACCCCTCGATCTACCCAGCGATCCATCCGAGACCCTCCGCCTGCCCAGCCTGTCTATCCTCAGTCGAAACTCAACGAATTCGAACCGCCTATCGAAACTTCGTCGTAGTTGTAGAGGTCGTCGTCGTCGTCGTCTTCTTCTTCGCCACACCACTATACATCGACAGCTTCCACCCGGCGATTACGACATTGTCCGCGTCTCGCTCTGCCGGGACCTGGCCATGGCGGCTGCCTAAATCCTCCCTCGACAGGATTGCACGTTACAAGATAAACCCGCCTATTCCGAGCCTTTGCCCGTCGCAAACATGGCCTCCGAACACAACCCCTTTCGAAGGAAGTCTGCTTCCACCTCGCTCTCCATCTCTACGCCCCAGCCAGTCTCTACATCGGCCTTTCTCGAGTCCATCACTTCCGGCATCTCGAGGCAGAATGGCCCCCCACCCCCCGAGGCCCGGCCGGCCAAGCCAAAGGTCGTGAAAAAGGTTAGGGTCCTTTCGCCGCCACCGTCGTCTCCCTCGTCCCCAGAATCCGTACACAGCAGGGGCTTTGGACGCCAGGACGACAGCAGCGACGAAGACTCCCACGACGAAGACGACCAATTCTCAAAGCGGTTTCCCGAGCTTCCCGGTGGCCTCCCCGAGGCTGCGCCGCTTCGCATTGCCAACGCGAGTAATACCCCCGACAATCCCTTTGGCAAGACGCTACAAGATCTGGAAGGCTTGACGGACGTGAAGCCTTCATCTGGTGGATCGACCAAAGCCATGGATGTCAACGCCTTCAAGATGCTGTTGCTCACTGGCCAGGCTGGTGCTGGAACACCGCCCCCGCAGACATCAGTGTCACAGGGAGACAAGGCGCCCGGTGCACCATACGCCGCACCTGAGCCAGAAACACCGCGGACGTCACAAGATATCGCGGATCGCGGCGTTGACGACCAACGTTCTCTTCTGGCACATTCTCCATCCGTGAAGAAGAAGCCTCCGCCGCCTAGCTCAAGGCATGGTAGGAAGATTAGCGTGCAGACTTCAGGTCGTCCGCACATCTCCTCCGAGACCGCGTCGCCCATCTCTCCGTCTGACGTGAACAAGCCCCTTCCGCCCGCCCCAAGCAGTCACGGCGGGGATGACACGGAAGATGTTTTTGCCCGTGAAGCTGCTGGCAAAGTCCCGGAGCAGGACTCCCCCACACCCAGCTCAATACCTACCCCGGCTCTTCCGGCGACAGGCAAGAGACCGACACCTGCCCCTCCACCACGGCGGGGTCACGCACGGAGCCAGTCCTTGACAGCCAATGCTGGGGCCAACGCTCCGAGTGTACCAAGTTACGAGGCCGACACGCCGCCTCGCTCTTCGTTGGAATCGCAGCGCTCCAGATCAGAAAGTTTCCGAAGCATCAATGCTCCGGCTCCGCCTCCACCTCGGCGCCCGCACGCATCTCATCGACAATCATTCCAACTAGCGTCGCCTTCAAGTAGTTCATTTCACGGTGCCAGCCCAGCGCCATCTGACATCGACACTTCTATTCATGCTACGGAGCATACTCCTCCCAAAACTTCACCTCCGCCACCACCACCGGCACGGAATACTTCCATACGCCGGCCTCCCAGCGTAAGGAGCATTGAAGCCCCCAGCAGGAAGATCAGTGGAGGCAAGGAGAATGCTCCCCCACCACCACCACCACCACCACGCCAGAGGGGCAGTAGTCGCGGAAGCATGGACGGATATGGTATGAGGAGGACGAGCATCGATAGCACTAGGGCCATGGGCAGCAACGTTCCAGAAGAGCCCACCGCGGAGGATGATGCACAGCAAGAGTACGACGCAGCTAAGTCAGGCAAGGGTGCGGATATTCTCGCCGACCTGGATGCTCTACAACGAGAAGTGGACGCCCTGAGGGCAGCACAGGGCAAATAGGGGCACGACCAAGGCGCTCTATAGATGATGGGAGTTGAAATAGACAGCAGTCCTGGACGGACTGACACGCCCTGGTGGGGCGGCTGGGTTATCTTAAATGAGCATTGTACATTTACGCACGTACTGGGATACGATATGAAGTAATGGAATGTTTATGAGTTGACATTTGTGGTTCACTATGCAACGGGCCGTTCGACCTGCGTTCCAGTTGGCTGGATCCGCGAGAGTTTGGCCACAGCCCCTGAGCAACCAGTGGTCCTTGATTTCGAGTTTGATGAGAAGGATCCGGCGTAGGCCACACGAGTACGAGGAATTGAGTTAATGGAGATCCGAGAAGTCAAAGATGATAACAGAGCACAGGACACCACGTACGCCAGAATGGGACGGCATGCTATTTTCGGCGGCCGCGGCCGGTCTTCTAACACCCCGTCGGCGACCTAGGAGAAAACTCCGTCGGAGCCTGAGGCGGACTCTGAGCCGCCGTTGAGGCTGGTGGCATGCATGAGGGGCGGAGGAGAGCTACGGAGGTTCGTTTGAGAGAGAACATGGACGAGGCTATCTGACGTGTAAAGGTGACATGGGGATTGTGGTGTCGTCGGGGACTTGGCGAGGGACTGGAATCTCGTGTAGGTGTGTAGGATGTGGGATATTGGGGGTTCGTGGTGGTGGTGTGTACGTGATTTTGCGTTTTACATGGGCCTTTTTGTGGTTGCTTTGTCCGCTGCCCGCGGGACGGCATGGATATATAGAGTTCCTGGAGAGGTGCGGTCTAAGAACTCTGAGAAAGCTT